TCGCATAGATTCTGATGAGCTATAGTGCACTACAGTTTCATCTCATTTGTCACGGTATGTCTGTAAATTAATCCTAAAAGAGGCATAGTCCTGAATCTCAGTCCAATTTCTAATAAATTCATCCTGCCCTATGACAACTGTACACCAGAACTAAATAAAAATGTCTCCATCATAGAGGGAGCAGCAGGGCAGTCTAAAATATACAGTCTGGCTCACATGCTGAACTAAGAAACAATACCTGCACCAAATGTCAGTGTTTGGTTCTTTGAAGGTGTTGATTTGAAAGATTTTAGGCTCTGAGATAGTCACCTTTTGCTTTTATGTCTAATTAAATCAAGTTGTGGCTTGTGGTGATGGCACATGCAGATTGATTTATTTGTAAAAATCCATCACATCATGCATTTTGGGCTCTGTGTGGAGCCTCCATTGTATTGAGGAACATTTACGAACAAAGAGCGCCTCAGAGCCCAGAAACAAAGAGAGACAGATCATAACACAAAGCAACAAGTAGATTTTGTGGAACCCTGAATCACAAGCGTGGGAGGAGCAGATATAAACAAAGCTGCTCTTTTTGCATGTTGTTTGGGGATATTGTTTGTTCCTACTTGGTATTTTTCCCCTTCCAGAATAATCTGGGGAGCAGCTTGGCGTGCAGTTCCCTGCTGTCTGTTCTGTGACCCCTCTGAAGTTACACTGATTTCCATGAAGGCTTGAAAAGGGAGGGGAGCTGCAAGCCGATCTACCCCCCCCGCCCCCTCCGCCAACCCCATCAACAAGGCGTTGATCTGAACTCGCACTGACGTCTTGATGACACAGCCCCTGTACGTCCAAGCAGGGCTGAGCGGCATGTGGGTGTCACATGGCCAGAAGAGAGTGTTAGTCTTGTTGATTTGAGTTTATAAGCCATCATGAGAACAATGATGTTGTACATTGCATACAAAATGTAATATGCTACATCTAGACAGCAAAAATTAGCTTTGTTTTCGACAGCGTTATGCAGTGGAACAACTCCAGGACATGCAAAGACAGAGCAGAGACTGAAGACAACCCTTTGGCCCAAAAGACAAAACATAAGGACCACGGACGCATCTGCACACCTAAACTCCCAACAAAACTCCCTGCAGTCCCCTTTCAACACATAACAAAGCCTCATGACGTCCTCATGACGTCCTCATGACGTCCTCCAAGACAACCCGGTGATATGTCCTTCCTTTCAGACGCCTTGCCACTGGAGGGAAAAGCAACTTTTTGCAAAAAGCAACAACTGGCTTGTTTTGGTTTGTCTGTCACCGTTCCCCTCTGGTGTTGTTGTGATCTGTTCGGAATGTGAGACGATAATGATTTTAAACATATGAAGGAAAAAAAACATCAGAGCGACTGACTTCCTCATGGCAACCTTGACGGGTTTTCTTTGCTCAGAAGTGTCCTGATTGGGTATATTTTGTTCTCAGTTATATTTACAAAAGAAACGGGTAACAATGGCGCCAAATGTATTCTGATGAGACTGACTGATGCTACTAACACATTACAGATTGGAAGGTTTACATAGTTAGACAGCTCAGTAACAAGAAGGGCTGAAAGAGGTATGAGAGTTCTTGGTCTGCGGACTGACCAAGCACAGTGTCTCAAACCAATGTACCTATACAGCGCATTATTACAACGTAACACCAAGTGGACTGCAGACATGGTGCAAAAAAACGTATTAATAGATACAAGAGCATGCAGGGGCAACTTAAAAACTTTTTCATAAAGCATCATAAGGGCCTTATAACACGGAATATGCTAAAAAAACAAATGTATGCTCTCTAAATCTTGTTTTTACTGTTATTGTTGGAATGCTGATTCAGCATACATCATCCTCCCTCAGATTTAATGTGCTCTACAATTACATGGAAGTTAGGTTGGATCCTGACTGCCGATTGGCCCGCCAAGGTGAGGTGAGGTGAGGTAGTATGAGCAAATTGGTCGGCTGGTGGCACCAGTTGTGACTGAGAGGGCGGGGTTGGAAATGACCATGAGTGAGTTATGTATGTAAGTGTGTCTGGTGGTGTGATCAACCAGGGCGTTTAGCAGCTTGTCAACAATGTCAGGACAACAGCAGCTCATAATCACTCACACAAACCCTTGCCAGCACACTGTGCACAAGTATTAAATCAATGCTCAGTGAGTAAATACAAGTTAGACAAGTGCAAGTATATTTTTTAAACCCCCAAATCACAACTTTTCTTGTTTTCCATACCCTCTCTCATTAGATCCTAAAAAACACCACAAGGAGTCCCTTGTCCAGATGTGCTGTAGGTGCAACAGATACTGTCTGCTGAGTGCGTATACAGTATACATTGTCTTCCACAATGACCCAATACTTTCTGATCTACGACCAGTTAAACCCTCGTCCCAAACACTTCAAAGTAAAAGACTATAAAACCTTTTAGTAAAATGATGACAGCATAATCATGAAAATGTAAATTAAGCATCAATGGTAAAAGTGCTCAATGTCAGAACAAATGTCCCATGTGACTATTGCATTTATAGATTATCATCACTCAAGCTTTAACATGTAAGCAGCATTTTGCACTTGTAATTGGTTGAGGTGGAGCAAAATTTTAACTATTTTGTATCCGACTGCAACTAATGATTATTTTCATTATGGATTAATCTGCTGATTACTTTATCAATTAATCGATTTAATTATTTAGTTCGTAAAACAGAAAATATTAAGAAATGCCCATCAAAATTACCCAGATTACCCTCATTGCTTGTCTCATAAAATTACCAAAAAGAATTACAAGAAACTGGTGGAAGATGGAACCAAGAATTATTTGCCTTTTTAGCATGAAAAATGACTTGAGCGATTGATAGAATAGTTCATTAAATCAAATGGTTTTCAGTCAACTGAGTAATTGATCAACTAATCAATTCACCTAATTGTCAGTTGGGTAGTTGTATCTATAACAAAGCATCGTAATAACTTTTCATTGCCAATCTGTTACTACTGCGTTACAAAAAACAATTGACTCAAGTGGATCCGCACGCACCTCCTCTCGTTGACGGCCTTTTATCAACACACAGCCTCTGTAACTCAGTATTACTTATAAACAACCTATCACTGCTAGCAGTTGTTGAGTAATAGGAGGCATGTAAAGATTATACTCATGTAAAGTACAAGTACCTTATATGTGTACAGTACATGAGTAAATGTACTTAGTTACATCACTGCTGATGACAAGTAACTCAGGATGATGTTTTCTTTTAAGTGTAATAGATAAGTGAAGTCTCTGACAATTATAATTGTATCAAGTGAAACTTAATGATCTTCATATATACATTTTGTCAATGCAGCAAATACCAGGATACAACCCAGAAAAAAACATGTGAAAACAAGAGTAAGTGAGTAAGAAGTGATAGTAACAATTTTGAAAAGCATATGCTGTCTGCGTTTTTGTTTTTCATTAGTTAGTTTCATTAGCCCCTTAGTTTGTGATTTGCTTTGGAGGTTCACATCAAATGTAACTCAAATCAAAGTGATGTAAGTAGAAGACGGTTGGTTCAGATACACAGTTGTAGAAGTAAATGAGTAATCGAAAAAGAAGTAAACCACACTTTTTAAACAGAACTGTTTATACCAACAGAATATTTGAGCTATGATTTCACACACCAATTAAAAAGAAACTGAAGCAACAAAAACATTTAAAAGGTTGAATTACTCATTTTGACTAACAATACAATACATCACATGAGGATTACATGAACGTGGTGGATGTTACACGATGCCGTGTGAATGAAACTTCTTGAACACTGCTGTCGTCACGTCTGTTCCCTCGGTGGAAAAGTCCCTTTATACAAACCACACAGGGACAGTGTCAGGTCACTGCAGTGACCACCGGGAAGACCTCAGGGACGCCTGGATGTTCGGTTTCACTTTGATCAGATTAAGAGGATTAGGGTTTATTCAAGTAGCCAAACGTCGTAAAAAGGAAAGATAGTTAGGATAATGTTAGTGTTACAGTTTAAGTTCAGAGAATTTTAAATAAATCGAGCAGTATTATGGGATGGTAAAGGCATTTTAAACTATTTTCAAAGTCAACATTTTAATGCTTTATTGTTTGTATTGAAGGTCTGTAGCCATGTCAAGTCGGCAACTTATGGTAGTTTTGTACCTACCTGTGTCAATTAATAATTCAAATATATCAATAAACAATAACTCAGTTTCTAGTTGGTGTAAAGACTTAAATTACATTTAAAAGATGAGATTCTGCACTTGTTACAGGTGTATGGAGTGTTTTAGCTGTTACTTTGGTGGGTGAAGATCTCTAGCTGCAGGCCTAGAAACAAAACAAGACCCCCATCAGAGTGCCCCTGTTCAATCCTTCCTCCCTTCTGTGGGGTCCGTCATTAAAGCAAAACACTAAGATCTGATTCCTACGAATGGCTGTGATCAAACTGTGTTCATGTGCCGATGATCAGCATAGAAACTCCAAAGTTCCTGTTTTTGAATACAGTGAATACCGCTCTGTCCTTCTCCTTTAAGACGATTCACTGAATAAACCCCAGAGAATGTCTTCAGCTTGACCTTTGGGCATGTTTATAACTTAGTGTAACTCTGTACTCAACTGAGCTGCATGCTTCGCCCTATGTTTTATGTGTTTACATGTGGCAAAAAATAACTGGGATCCCTGTTGAATATCCATGTAAACAAAGTACAAACTGTACAAGAGGACACTAAATGTAATTCACATTGAACTCAATGATCTCAATGTGACAGATCGAGTGGTGAGATGAAGCCAGAAAGGATTACGCAACTGCTCGATGTTAGAGCTGTCATATGCAAAATTTCTGTCTGTAATTAGTCATCGTAATTGTAGCTCGATTCCCTGGCTAATCCTTCCCTTGGCAATGATATTGTTTTGACTCATATTGTTGAACATGATGTACCACCTCACTGGCATGCAACATGATAACAAGATAATAAACTAGCATAATAAATCAGAGTTGGAACGAAACAGTGAAGACAATTTTTTTTATTAGAAAAAAAAGATTACAAAACTTTGGCAAGATTGTGAATCTACAATTTGTATAAAAAAAAAATATTTGTTTTTTTTCCAGTGCATGCCACCAAGGTCGCACAGCTGACCCGGAAGTCTTCTTTCACACTCTTACAGTCTTTTTGGAAGTTGAGGAGAAAACATAACCCTCGAGTTTTTGGAATGTTCTTTGTCCATACACTTCAGTGGCATCTCCAGCTCAAGGCTCGACTTGACTGCGGAGCACTGTGTTCTGGTGGAGCGTCACAAAGCGCCCCACAGCACAGAGGCATCTGGCTCTCATCAAAAGCTATAGACTACGTGGCCCAGAGGTCTCCGTCTCCTTTTGTTTAGCAGCTGGGAGAGCTAATCTAAGGGCCTGGTGAAGCTTTATACCCCAAATGCTCATCCTATTTCATCGCTGAGCTAGAATCAACCATCACAGCTAACAATATGTCGTCTATCTTCAGTGCCTTAAGCCTGGCATTAACACACCTCTCGGAATCCATCCACGTACAAGGCAACCATTTTTGTTCAGAGTTTTTGCAGAATACATTCAGCTCTATGAGAGAACGACTCCATGGAACTCTCATGCAATCTTCAGCTGCAGATAATTATAGCATGTGTATTTTTCCCTTTAACATATTGTGACTGGCATGCATAAAATACATCTACATCTGATTACTTGACTTGTCTGCTCCACCATTACACCTTCAGATACAGTATGTGCTTAACTAATAGTAGAAATCATCGCAGGCACACTGCGGCTTTGTCACACAATGCATAGCAATGTAGGTTGTTCAAATCTACTGTGTTGCCAGGACAAGAAGAGTTGTAAAGTTAAGATTGCACCTTCTTACACTAGTCAATCATGACAACGTGCTTCTAAAGATATGTCAGCTTCTCCAGAGTGCTTTTTCTTTTTTTTCTTTTTTTAACACTAGGTGCAACTCCAACTGTCCACCTAACAAATAGCAAGTGACCTTTCACCCCCAATGTGTCCTAAACTCCTTAAATCTCAAAATTCACTTCACATGAGTGAATCTTTGATTGGGAGACACTTCATGAAAAGGAGCCAAATAAATCACTTGTGGAACGGGAACTGATGTGGAGAAGCTACTTTCCTCGTAACAGAACAGGAAAGAGTCCACTTTTCTTTATGGACTGGTGGCGACTTCTCCACTGACATCCAGTTCCTGTGAGCTCCGTCTCCTGAACTCTCCGTGGCGCTGCAGTCCCTATCCACAACACTCTGTGGAATCAGCTGCCATTTATTGGAGAGAAGTAATCCAGGAGAAGACAAATCTCTTGATTCGTTTCTTTAAGTTAAGTTGCTTGACTCTCAGGCGGGGCTCATGGTTCAACACGTCATGCAGCGACGTCTCATGTTTAAGGGCTGAGGGTTGGGGTCAACCTGTAGGCAACAAAAGGAAAAAATAAAGACACATTAGATGAAGGTTAAGCAGATAATTCAGCCTTTGTCCGATAAAACCATCATTCAGCCTACACCCACAGATTTGTTTTCATGCAGCTACAGTTATACAATTCAGCTGTGAGCTCAAGAGTGCCTTTGACAGGAAAGAAGTTGGCGATGTTCTATTCATCTACTCAAAAATACTTGGGTAGGTGTCGTTTCCAGCATTTGGTGACTCACCTCGCTGTACATTGGCGGAGGTCGGAAGCGAAACTCTTGAAGGAATGCCATGAGGGGGCGCTCCAGGATCCCACTCAGATCTTCGGCGGGTTGCGGGGCCACCGCATTGTTACGCTGCTCGGCCTCCTCCTCTGTCACTATGGAGCTGTAGTCTGGAGGAGCTGCAGGGGAAAAGGCGGGATAAGTCCTCTGGTCTGACTCAACAGAACAGTACAGGTCCAAACATTAAGCTGCCGAGTCATCACTGTAGTTAAAACTCTTACAAACCCACTTGGCATTTGCTGCCTTTTGCTCTAACACTGATTTCATCCAACATTAATCTTTGCTGAATCGAAACCTTTGTTTATGCATGTTGGCATCTGATTTTGGCAGTGATCATAAAAGTCAGTATGCAGACGGTTTTCTTCATTCATTTGTTTTGCAGGTCCTTGAGTGCAAACCTCCTTGAACATTAATAGCTACAGATTATATAAATGGTGAAAAAGACAATAAGGAGTCTGTACTGCTTTGCTCACTCTGAGGGTCACGTGTTAATCTGCCTAGCCTGAAAAGACTTTCCACAATCCTATGTTTGCTTTAAACAAGGACAATCAAGAAAAAGATTGTCACATATGCTACTGATTTGCTTGTGTCCTACACATCTCTGTTTGTCAGTCACTGCGGTATTAAAGGACACTTACACTCAGGCTGCTCAGGGATGGCCATGCGCAGCCACTCCAGGTTGACGCTGTATTGGCTGCTGACGCTGGAGGTCCGGCTGCCGAAGGGATGGAGGGGGATGGTGCCTATGACCAGTGGCAGCTCCAGACACAGCTTAGATGTCCCAGGAACATCAACACAAATCTGATGGAAGGAAAAGAGGAACACTTTTAGTGAAATCTGTGTAAAGTAAAGCAGCAGCATGCATGAAAAGAGGGAATATAGCGTTTGAATTCCTATGAAATAAAGCAGCTTTTGACTGAGCTCACCTTGAGCATGTACTCCACTTTGATGATGCGGCACTGCAGGATGGACGGACCCATGGGTGGGATCTTGATGGCGCGACCGTGCCATGTCTCCCTGGATCTGGCCCCCACAATATCACCGTACAGGGTGCCCACCACCGCACGCTTCTGCTTCATGGTGCCGCGGGCAATGAACGTCTGTGTCTGCGTGATGTAGGCTTTGGGCACAACTGATCTGGAGGTAGAGTTGTCAAACTCCGCAAAGACCGGTATCACCTCACCTGGGGAGAAGGGAAGTATGTTAGAAATAGCAGACACTTCTAATCTGGCCTAAAAAGTCTGCGTTTTTAGAGGGAGTTGTTTTAGGTGCTAGCCCCTCACCTGGTGTGTAGCCTTTGCGGTCGATCTTTGCAGATATAGACACCTCTCCAAAGTTGCGGTACCATGCCCGTGCCATCTTGTCCTTCGCTCCAGCCTGTGGCGCCTGGGAATGATGAAATCAAATAAGGTAAGTGCCTCAAAAACACCCAGAAAATCATGAGGCGTGTGCTGACACAATCATGAAATGTAAGGGCTGAGATGCTCACCAGCAAGGTCGGTGTGTTGATGTCAATGGGCTCGATAACTGTAAACTCCCTTTTGATCTTCCTGACGGTGGCCCACGGCCTGTGTAGCTTCACTTTGACCCAGTAACGGATGCTGCCGTGTTTCCCCTCGAAGGAGGTGACCAGCGTCTCCTCAGGCAGCTGGAAGCTGAATGGAAATTCATGTCTGCCTGCAGGGAGGACGGTTACTTCACCATTATCTGAGGAGAGGAGAAAGAAAAAAGACGGAAATTAAAGTTAACAGTTCATTCACTTGTTGTTTTGGCTCTGGCTTGTCATTTGATTTCAAGAGTACACGTCAGTGAGTGTAACTTTAATTCCTGTTTCTCCCTGTTTGTGTCATAAAGTGTGCATACAGAATTACAACACTGATATAAACAACCAATACAGCGCAATAAAAAAAAAAAAAAATCAAAGCTTCCTAATCTTTACTGGGATCGATCATCTGATTGTGTGTGAGGTCGAGTCACATTCTACACATATGAATGGCAGTAAAGTAATTCATCCGATGAAGGAAAAGAAGTGCTGATACGCAACTAGTAAAAAACTAAACATTGTATTTCTTTAGAAATCCACTTTGTGAGAGAGTAGGAACAGATCTTTAAAGCACGACTTGTTGAAATAGAAATAACATGGCTTCTGTGCTTGCTCAGAGGGGCGGTTCCTCCTCCATTGTGCTGACTGAGAACATGTTTTCCTCAAGCTGTATAATACAGCGCGTCTCAACTGCTCTGTTCTTTCTCTCTCTCTTGCTGCACAGGTTCAGGAACACGCGTTTGCGTTCAACAGACTGTGTTTAGTGTCCCTTTGTTAGCTGGAAGCTCCGTCTTGATTAAAGTAACAATACTGTCACTGTGTAATACTCTTAATAGGCCAAGTGGGCTGTTGTTAGCTTTCTCTTGTTAGTTTGTGTTCACACCAGCAAAAAAACGTCACCAAAATAAAAGTTTTAAAAATAAAATAAAATACCAAATCAAGCAGTAAGACTAAACATTGCAATGAAACATACAACTGACAAAGCCCCGTCTGTGAATGTCCTGTCTACATTTCAGAGCTAAACAGCTCTGTGGTCGATGAATGAAGGCAGAAAGCTGAGGCTCTCTCACATCTCTGTGGAGAAAAACAACTCTGAAGCTTCTTCGAATGAGGAAAAGTCTGATGTCAGGACTATTATTTTTCAGATTGAGTGCAAAGACAGCTGTTGAAACATATTTGTATCTCTTCCTATATAGTAGGAGCAGCTTTTCTTTATGTATATTAAGTTATGGCTAACAACATAACTTCTCACATGGCAAAATAAATAACAAACAGTCCTCTAAAAAATGCCTTTGTCGATGTATGACCGGATCTCCGAGTGCTTGTTGAGTGCATTTTCTGAATCGGTATGCTCGGTGTGACTTCTTTAGGGAAGTAGCTCACAACAAAGAAATCATCTCTCAAAAGGCTCCTGATAAAGTGATGTTTGACTTCATTCGAAGAGTATTAGGGGATCCAGTCTTTTTTATGTATCAAGTCCAAAGCCGACAAAAAATCTCAGATGCGAGACAAAAACTCACTTACAAAACAAGTTACAATTTGACTGCACCAGACATCAATCCAAGGACTCTGCTCACGATCCGTTTAACTCTCATACTAAATTATGAAACGAAACTATTGCCAGTTTTCAGACAAACAACCCAGTGTCCCCATCCAAATAACCACTTTCACTACCGTTTCAATCATTAGTTTACAGACAGTATGCCCCCTCATGTGGTCTCCCCCATCACAGCGCCTGCAGAGCGGACTGACCTGCCTGCAGCAGCACCTCTCTCCGGTTCAAGTACTCCACCTCGTCGCTGTAGTTCTGGGTGTATGCGGTGCTGGAGCCGGCGGACCGGGACTCAGTCCAGTGCACTTTAGCGAATCCCTCAGCGTGGAGCTTCAGGGAGTCCAGCCGACTCTCCGCGGACAGGTCCAGCACCACCCGGCCGGACACCACGTCCCCGCTGCTGAACACCGGGGCACTGTCCACCTCCGGAGAGTCGAAGACGATGTCAAACTTTTTCAACTTGTCGAAAATCATTTTTTTTCCAGGTTGTGCAAGTCCTCTCCAACGCAAAGTAAGTGAATCCTTTATTCTCGTTCCGCAGTATGCTAAAAGTTTTCTGAAGTGGATCCTCAAACTGCAGATGACTTTTATTAACTTGGTTAAAGCTCAAACTGAAGAGCACCTTCTGCCTGCAGCCTTATTTGCAGTCTAAGAAAGTGGGCGGGATTTCCTAACGCATTATGTAAGGGCTCAAGAGAGGGCTGAAGGCTGATGCTGCCTTCAGGTGCTCCTTCATGGCACCGACGTCTCAGTGCTGCACTTGTGAATAAGACATTTGGCTACTTTATTCGGTCAAATTCAACAACAAAACTTGTCTGGAAAGTTTAGAAGAAGGAAAAGTAGAATACTTTTGAACAAACACTGCAGCAGCTGTTTTCAATAATAAAACACACTTTCAAACACCGGGGAGGGGGTTGAGTGAAGTCAGCTGCTGCAGCTGAAAACCAGACCATGCATCCAGGCCAAGACCACTACTGTTACAAAATTTGACTTTTGGTGGGTTTTTGTTTTGTTTTAAGCATTATAACAAAGATTTCTTAAGGGCAAAAAATGTGTTTTCCTTCATTTACCGGTCAACCATAAACTATCACCTGTATTCCTGTAAGTCACCCACAGACCGTAAAGACTACATAATAAGATATCAACAGGCTGTCCTCGAGGTGTAGGAGGAGACAACAGAAACAAAGTATTAGAACATGTCCGGACAAAACAACCTTGTGATGTCAATGATACCAAAATTACAACTGTAATGACAAAACAAACACATTTACGGCCTCAGGGTTGCATGACAACTACCCACTTGAGAATAACATCTTGACAACTTCGGTGTCAAGTAAAATTCCTTCTTCCTCTGTCCTAATTACAACTTAGTTAGGTGACTTGTGTGCAACGCTCATCAAAACATATCATCGTATTTCCGAACCGAGCCTGAAGGCAGCATAATAAACATGCAGACTGGGTGTGGAGGGAGCAGAGAGGAAAACAGGGCCTGCTAGTGATTGATGGTTACAGGTTCTTAGAAGAAAACAGACTTACTGAACATGCCTCCGTCTGGCAGAGATCCGCCCTGCACAGCTCAGAGAAAAATAGTTTCACTCTGCACAAAAAGTTGTTTACTCTACTTCTTCCATGTTGCGTTATAACATACTGTTTCACAGCCCGGGAACAAATGAAAACCACACAGCTATGAAAGCATACAACTTATGCCACCAAATCCCCATTTGAAAAACAACTGCAGTTGTACTACCCCCAATAATAAAGGGATACCACACAGAGAAGTCCCCAAAAAACAAAAACTTGTAACCAACTAGGCCACTTGCATGAACTTATATAGCACATGTGCAGCCTTTTCCTAACACATCAAATTAAATTAACTTCCAACATTGGCAAACAAAACCGAATCGGAGCAGAATGGATTTCAAACTCTGCTGCAGTCAATTAAACTAAATTTTAAACAGCGTTACTCTTTTCATTCAATTCAAAACAGAACAAAAATCAAGTCTGGTCTCAGAAAAACAAAGTTGTTTACTCCTTAGTTCCCTGGTAGTAAGAAGTTAGCTCTTCAGTGCCACCAACTGGCAATTGGAGGCAGAGTGCACCGCTGCAGGACTACCAGGATGTTTTTACGTTGCCTGAACTGGACTGGAGATGTGTGTGAATCTGGGAAAAGTTGTACATGGTGCTCACAGAATAATAAAGTTAGGCCTCTGGAGGGTTTTCCAACTGAGTATCCCCTCACTGTTAAATTACTCCTTGCCGGTTTCGTATAAAAGTAGAAAGTAGCAGGAGGTTTCTTGTATCTTTCCGCAGGAGGTTTCTTGTATCTTTCCTTGGGTATAATCAGTTTCTTCGTCGAAAAGAAAAGTGGAATCAGCAGTAGAACTCATATTATCATACTTAGAACTGTCATATTTGGGAGGTTTTTGCATATAGTACATGCAGGAGGTTGTGACCTGGAGTGAAATATAGCCCAGCACACCACCTGCTGGTGACCAGGAGCAGCAGCCTAGCTCTACCAGGTCTCCCTGCCTCGGCCCTGATCAGGTGAACGTGTGGGCCTCTATGCACAGAATGATGAGCCTGATAAACGCTCCCGCTCAGTACGATTACCCCAATCATCCTGTAAGCAGGTTACCACCGCTGCAGGCTGAAGTAAACATGTTCATCCCCATGAGTTTCTCTTTGTTT